GTACCAATGTGTAAACGGACGATGTTGTCAATCACAACCGCGAGTAAAGAATGTATCAGCGAACATTGACAGCTGAGACACCGAGATACAATCCGCACAATGTCTCACGTGGCACTGCTAGCCACTGCGATGGCACCACGGCCGTGTATGCATGCATGCAGAACTTCTTTCGCCCCGTACGTAGGCCCACCGTAGCGCACGCGTCGAACCTAAGCGCTATCTCTGCCTCGATTCGCTCGGCATTTCTGAGAGTCCTCGATCAGACGCCGTCGCTTTGCTCTTTTCTGGGGGGCAGATCCAACAAGAGGACTAATGCTCTGCAGGTTACACACGGCGCGCTCGTTGCTGTGGAGCGCCGTTAAGCGGTGTCCCATGAAAGGTGTCTTATAAATTTATATATATTACAAAAAAAGTGTTCTTGCCTCTAGTTATCTCGTGAAGCGAGAGGTGAAAGTGGCCCCGAAGCGAAATGAAATCACGGGCCGCGCAAATACGGCGAGCACTCGTTCATAATTCAGATGGTGGCGTAAATACATATATATATGTAAAAACAAAAAATCCGGGTAAAGGTGCAGACCCTGCAATGTCTGGGCTCATGACACCGCTGGCGGAAAGACCTCCACTACTCGAGGGGGTTCCAGCGGATAATCTCGCCCAACTGCTTCCACGCCTGGTGAGACGTCTCTAAAGCGGTCGCAGTAACCTGCGTTTTTATTTGTTTTGCATTCGCCGATTTGGCGAGAAGCAGGGAACTCTTGTGAAAACGAGACTCACCCTGGCCTGTTGAGTTCTCGCCGGATTAAAATGAACAACAACAAAAATGTGGACTTAAAACTCGAACCCGCATTCTACCCCTCCACAAGTGACCTGCCAATCCATCACTTGTGGGTGGGCAGACGTGGGGGGGGGGGGGGGGATGGGTGGGGATTAAGAAGCTGGTCCCAGTGTGTCAACTTCCGTGCCAGGGGATCGATTCGAACCAGCGACCTCTGGATTTCACGTCCAGCAAATTCCATCGCGGCAGCATCAACGCGAACCTTTTACAGCTCGCGTTTGTGAAATATCCCATTGTTTTGTAAATAGCTCTAAATGTTCAATTTGTCCTCCGATCGATGGAATTCTTTCGCCAGAATATTATTTAAATCCGAAAGAATACAACAAAAAAACTTCACGAAACGTATATTCTTGGAATTTTAATCCGTAAAAAAAGGCAGATTAATTTTAGTACAGGAGAAAATCTTGAGAAGAGTATGAAAATGACCAGCTGACTCTTAGTTTCCGTTTCAGAACAACGAGTACTCTAACTCGTTAAAAAACAAAATAAAAATTCTCTACTTTGGCTCGATGGACGCGTGTGCACGCCGGTCTTGGAGTTCCCCTTTGAAACGTGCCACGCGCGAGCGCAGTCGCTGTGACTCGGCGCCCGCGGGCCCGAATCTCATTAGTGGTTCTCGGACGCCCACTGGGACGCGTTTCGTGCCGATCGTTAGCTTACGCGAAAGATGAATGGACGGAAATGACCGCGGCGCCTCTGTGCAGTGTGGCAGTCTTCGTGCTCCTCGACTCCTCGTGCGTGTGCATTCGTGCCGAGTACGTACGGGAACTCCTGTGTGCTCGTTGGTATTGGTCTACCGCGTGCGCTTCGGTGTCTCGGCTTTGTCAAGGATCTAGGAGTCAGTCTTAAGAGATTGGTTAAGGAATGAAGAAGTCGGGAAAGGAGCAGAGGGCACCGATGCTGCTGCTGTTGCAGCAACATTAAAACGAGTGGAATTGGGCCAGGACACGTCACGAGAAACAGCTGATGAAGAGACGAGAGACGAAACGAAACTCCGTGCGAGTGGAGGCCGAGGGAGCAAGGGAAGAGTGAAGCAGCACGGTGAGACAGCGGCAGCAGAAGCAGCAGCAGAAGCAGCAGCGAGACGACATCGCAGAGTCCGCAGGCCACGACTTGACTGGTGAGTGGTGGGAGGACCGTTGGCCCGCAGTGGGAAGCTGCAGGTTGTCGACGACAACAACAACAACTACAACCCAGGACTCCTTTGAAAAGGAGGCCCATGGCCTCAATAGTTGCTCACGTGGTTGAAGCGAAGGGGACATCCCGACCACCTACGTGTGGGACCACGTTCACTCATTTTGTCCACAGTTTATATATGCACCGGTTAGCGCGCTGCGCTATGAAGCTGGCGACTCGGGTTCGATTCCCGCTCACGGCCAACACCAGTGATGATTATCTGAACCGGTCCCGGGCTTCCCCTAGGTCGACTCAGCCTCAAATGAGCACCTGGTGCAGCGTGTAGACATCGCCACTGGGGAGGCAAAGGCCCAACCCCTCGTGTGCCGTGCCGGCTTTAATAGGTGCTTGCTAACAGCACTTGCCTCTGTTAAAGGCTATACGGGCGGGGGGAATGTTTGTCTTTGTGCATGCACGCGTGTTAATGTCGCATTATGCATTCGGGTACACGGGCACGTGTCACTACCCCACCGTGCTACAGTTTCAGTGCCTGCTTTCCCTCCCCCCAATTAAAATACAAAGCCTATGCAACGATTAATTTGCCACCGTTGAAAGTGACGGCCTGCCAAAGATTAGTATGGCCACAATAAAACACAGAGACTCCCGCACCGCCTCGACAGTCTTTTGGTTGCAAGTGCTGTTAGCGAGCACCTATGAAGGCTGGCAACGGTCACACGAGGGGTTGGGTGGTCAGCACCGCGCCCGGCCGCCTTTGTATCCCTAGTGGCGATGTTTAAACACTGCGGCAGGTACCCATTTGAATCGACCTAGGGGAGGCCGATAAAACACACACACAAATCGCGCACACCAAAACGCGGATGGCAAATTAAACCGCGATCATCTGCACGAAACAAGTCAGTCACACAGGGTAGCACGCGGACCATCCCAGCGTCTCGGCACGACCACGGCACCTGGGGCAGACGCTACTGTTGTGGCAAAACACAAAGGGAGAGGTCACCTTGTGGTGGTGCATGATGCGTGAGCCACGTGACATTGTGCGCGCGCGTGCGTGTGCAGCCCGGAGGAGCGGCGCCGTCGTTCTTCCTGCGCTGCCTAAACCACGCAGCCAACTGGTCAAGATTCCCAGCCATGGCTAACATCAGTGGTGATATCTGCACTTCTTTTGGGTCCTCCCCTAGGTTGACTCGGCCTGCAATAAGCAGCTGATGCCTCGATTGAACATCTGCCCTGGGGTGTTGCTCGCCCCTCCACCCCCACTGTACGCTGTTCCGGCTTTAATACGTTCTGGCCAACTGCACATGGCTCCAACACTCTGTTTAGCTAGACGGGGTATCTTTGTCTTCGTGAAGTGGGGACTTGTTTCCTTAGTGGCAAGAAATTGGTAGTGTCAGAATCCTGCGCCAAACTAAATGCAAAAAAGCAAAGGTTCCCCGTTGTCGCCCTATGAATGGTTGGGGCAAGTGCTGGTTCAAAATGTAGGCATTTGTCCACACCACCCACTCGTGTGCCGTGCCGTCCTTAATCGGGGCTTGCTGACAGCATTTGCTCTCACAAACTAAACACATACGACGGTTATTCATACAACAGTTATTCCTGGGTATTGCCAGATCCATGGAATTCACGGCCAAACCAGTCACTCTAATAGGACAACTGACACGGCACACGTGGACATCTAAACGATGGGATGAATGGAAATGCACGAATAATATCAACATGGTTTTAAAACAATTGGACTTTGCTCCGGTCACAGAGCCCTTGATGTAGACTGACTTGTTCAACGTGAACAGATCTGTGAAGATCAGAGGCGCTTGTGTAAACGCTGCCAAAGGAAACCCACGGAGATGTAAATCGGGACCTTTGATCTGAACACATCTACTCAAGTCTGAACAGATCCGTGGAGATCAAAGCCACGCGTGCCACTGAGGCCAGATGAACCTCACCCACCTGGAAATCGAGAGCCATTTTATCGGAACAGATTTTCTTCTGTTCAGATTTACTTCCGTTCTGATGAGACGTGTTCAGACACGGGCTCACATTTCACCCACCACGAGTACATTAATGACGGCCTCTGATCTGAACACATGTGTGCAAAATTGAACGGTTCTGTTGAGATCAGCGAACTTTTGTGCGACCTCCGACCCATGAGGTCTCAGCTTCTCTGCCTGTGCTCCCGTGATCTGAAACCCCCTCCCTCAGACGTCCGTGCTGCTGATGCCCCTGCTCTTGTTGTTGGAGTTCACGCTCAGTCTCCCTCTGGTCTTCTGCTTAGGACTGTCACCTGTCAATGAAGTTTCTTAAATATATATTTTAAACGTATCTCTCTTTTTGGTGGCTCGTCGTGATGTTCCGCTCTTTGTTTATAGCGTCTTCAGATGCATCTCCATTTTAATTTAAGTGCTGTTGGTGGATGGTGGAGGGGGGGGGGGTGTAATAGGCCCGGGATGGGGGGAGCAGTATCAATCCAGATGAGATTTGGTAAACGACAACCGGTAACCGCTGAACTCTGAATGGCAAGTCCCGTGTGCACACCATTAAACCACAGTGGCAGCTGCCTTAGATTATCAGTTAAAAAAGCTAAACACGTGATCTCTATTGCTCTAGACATTTCTGTATGTGCGGGAATGTGGTAAAAAAAAAACATGAGAGTTTTTTTTTTGTTCTTGTGGTTAACGGTAATCTATTTCAGATCTTTCTTGCCACTGCTGGCAATTGAACTCGGGTCGCACGGAGTTTACAGCGCAGCGCGCTAATCACTGCACTGCTGCCGTGTGGCTGTGGAGTTTTGTGGCACGGCCCAGTGGTGGCGCATTCGTCCGCGTGTTGAAGAGGCGCACGGTTCGAACGCGGCGGCCGCCCTGATTAATACTGCGGTGTGCGCGTTAACCACACAGACACTCCGCGCCACCTGATTTACAGTGGACGTTCAAGAACCCATAATAATTGTGCCGATCCAGCTGCTTCTGCTTCTACTGGTGCTGCTGATGATGACGACGATGACGACGACGACGCGGCAGGATTCGGGACTCACCCAGCACGTAGATCTTGCCCCCGCGCACGAAGGCCGTGGCGGCGTAGCGCGGCGTGGGCATGGGCGCCAGCGCACGCCACGCGTCCCGCACGGCCTCGTACTCCCACAGCGTGGCCAGGGGGGTCGTGTCCGCGCCCATGCCGCCCGCCACGAACACGCGGCAGTCTGCACGCGACACACAAACACAAAGACAAAGATCCCCGTGTAGCCTTAACAGACTGTAGGGGCAAGTGCTGTTAGCGAGTAGCACCTATAAAGGCCGGCACGGCACACGATGGGTTGGATGGTCAACACCACGCCCGGCCGCCTTTGTCTCCCTAGTGGCGATGTTTACACATCGCACCAGGTACTAATTTGGGGCTGAGTCGACCTAGGGGAGGCCCAGGACCGGTTCATATATCCGCCACCGTTGTTGTCCGTGAGCGGGAATTGAACTCGGGTCGCTGGGTTTCGGGGGCGCAGTGTACTAACCGCTCCACGGCACACAGAAGTGCGCCCACGTGCACGCACACAGACGTTCGCACACAGACGCACAGACGCACACATACACACAGACGCACGCACACAGACACACAGACGCACGCATACAGACGCACGCACACAGACACACAGACGCAAGCACACAGACACACAGACGCACGCACACAAACGCACAGACGCACACATACACACAGACGCACGCACACAGACACACAGACGCACGCATACAGACGCACGCACACAGACACACAGACGCAAGCACACAGACACACAGACGCACGCACACAAACGCACAGACGCACGCACACAGACACACAGACGCACGCACACAGACACACAGACGCACGCACACAAACGCACAGACGCACGCACACAGACATACAGACGCACGCACACAGACACACAGACGCACGCACACAGACACACAGACGCACCCACAGAGACGCCGCACTTAGACACACAGACGCACGCACACAGAAGCACAGATGCACGCACAGACACACAGACGCACAGACGTACGCACACAGACACACAGACGCACGCACACAGACACACAGACGCACGCACACAGACACACAGACGCACGCACACAGACGCACAGATGCACGCACACAGACACACAGACGCACGCACACAGACACAGACGCACGCACACAGACGCACAGACGCACGCACACAGACGCACCCACACAGATGCACGTACACAGACACACAGACGTACGCACAGACACACAGACGCACAGACGCACGCACGCTCGCTCAGACACCCACGCAGGGAAGCGCGCCCACACGCTCGAAACTGATCACTCGACGGGCTCCCACCGACGCCGCGCTCGACATCCCCCCCAGGGCGGGCGCCGCCACATCTGGACGACGCTGGCCAATGGAGACATCGGCGCGGTGTCGCCGAGAATGCGAACGTGGCCAGACGAGTGTAAACATAGCTCGTCAAGAGGAGGCCTGCTGGATGGGTGGCCTGGGAGGTTAAGAGCGCCGAGCCGGTACCGCTGAGAACCTGGGTTCGATTCCAGGCTTCAGCCGCCCGTAATTGACACCGGGATCTCGCGTGGTTCCCCTACGACTTCCAGCTCGGACCTTTTCACTTTCCAGGTGCTTCCATTTGTGGGTCTCGGTGGATCGGGTGAAGGACACTACCAAAAAATGTGACCCTTCATGTTTAACAGCTCTGTATATGCTGTTGCCTTGCTCATAGTTGTGAATATGCCCATTTTTCGCGGCGTTTGTGGCTAAAGGGCGATTGGGTAACGACTCGCGACGCTTGCAGGGCACCACCACCGGCCTCTCCGCGCACACGCTGCTGAGGCTCACGTAGCTCGCGGTCGCGGGACGCACATAGTACAGGGGGGGTCCCTTGTCTCGCACAGCCGCGCCATCGCACGGACGTCAGACAGCAGTCTGCCTCCACATCACCTCCCACCCTCTCCTCCACCCCCCGCAGGTAATTCTACAACCAAGTGCGATTAGCGGTGGTCACAACGCATTGTGTACACTACATGGCGACCTCAGTTCGATTGCCAGCCACGGCTAACAACAGTTGGTGAGCGATGTCTGAACCGTTCCTAGACGCAGTGCTGTCCTAAGCGACCTATAGCGATAACAATATATAATAACCATGATGACGATGATAACACCGAAGTAGAATGCATAATTCCCAAGCTCCAGCTGCAATCTTTTATTTATGGGCTGATATGGGGTTTGACTGCGGGGGTATAATCCCAACGACCCCGAGTTCCAAACTCGTCCTGCGTTTCCCCTCCCCCCACTTCAGCAACCCGCACTGACCAGCGTGGTGAAGTATGGTCGAACAAAAATCTAGTCCCCCCCCCCCATTTCAGCAGTGTGGTCAAAGCACGATCAGGCAATCCGCGTGACCCACACGGCAAGGAGAGAGGAATTCATCCAGCAAGTGGGTTGACAAATGTGGTGGGGAAGGGGGAGGCTGTGATATGATTTTTTAAAATTATTATTAACGATAGCCACCGGTAAATACAACCATTAACTATTTTTTTTATTTTACCAGGTAAGGCCCCACTGAGCTGTATAGCTCTTTTTCAAAAGGGATCTGGCCACAAATGATCACTGAACGAAGTGACTCATCACGTGGAAATGTACAGCAGCCAAATACTCTAAACGCGTGATGTTGATGCTAAATGTGGAGGGGAACAAACCCAGAGGACCCGGAGAAAAATCCACGCGACCGCGATCAACATGGGGGCATTTAAATGCATGTATGTATGCATGATGAACTTCTTCGCACCGTACGTAGCCAATCGCGCTACTTGAAGTTTCAGCCACAACGCCGTCACATTGCGTGAGTTTCATTGCCTTCTCGACAGGGGAATGCGTCAATTTCTTCCTTCTTCTTCAAATAATAAACACAAAATATACAGCAGCAGGCGTCGGGGTCTGCATAGAACCCACGACCTCCTGTATACCAGGCGAGGCAGTTAACATCTCGCCACCGCGGAGCCCCCAAATCTGCGCTCCGTTCACGTTGCCCGGGATCGCGATGCGTCGGGGGGGGGGGGAGGGTTGTGCAGACGGCACGAAACGTCAGGAGACGCCGGCACTCGGAACCACGCCACGTGGAGTCGGGGAAAAAGCCAACAAAAATCCCTCCGTTGCCACGGAAACGGGATCAACATGGGGGCATTTAAATGGATGCATGTATGTATGCATGATGAACTTCTTCGCACCGTACGTAGCCAATCGCGCTACTTGAAGTTTCGGCCACAACGCCGTCACATTGCGTGCGTTTCATTGCCTTCTCGACAGGGGAATGCGTCAATTTCTTCCTTCTTTTTCAAATAATAATAATAATGAGAATTTGTATTGTTTGAATGTGGGCTCAATTAGACATTTCTGGTATGGGAGGGGATGTACTGGCTAAAAATGTGGGAGAAAAAAAATACCCACGCTGAAGAAATCCACCCCTATGCCATGCATCCTCCGTCACCAATCATTAACATTATATATACGCCGGTAACGGTTTTAATTTAAATACTAAATATATTTTACCACTGCGGCGCACTTTGCGCCCGTGTTGTTTGATTATTAAATGCGAGCAAATGTCAACGTGGCCCTGGAATGCAAAGTGGCCCCCTTCTCTCTGCGGCGGCGGCGGCGTGTGTCAAAGAGGATCGTTGATTCCGCTCGACGCCTCTCTCCGTATTTGCCGAGTAAACTCCTGCGGCAAGCGCACACGTCATACGCCTATTATGATTATTATTATTGTTGCCATAACTTACAACCCATTGTCAAACCGCTGCAGGCCCCACGCCGCCGAGGTCATCGCGAGTCGTTTGACCATACTTTGTCACGCTGGTCAGCGCGGGATCCTGAAAGGGTCGGGTGCGGAATTGCCAGCAACTGCTCAGATATCACTCGCCACTTATGTTAGTCGTGGCCAGGATTTGTACTCAGGTGGCTGCTGTTCATAGAGCAGCACTCGTTGTTTCATGTCCCCACTCTCCTCCTCCCCCCATCCCCGGTCCAAATTCTAAATGTATCCCGGTTGTGTTTGAGACAAAGAGTGCGTTTGGATATCTGCCGTTGTAATAGGCGCGCGCGGTGGGGGGGGGGGTCGCGTTGACACGGCTTTGATCGCGTAAGCTCCACGCGCTCGATGACATCATTGTCGGCAATGTGGACCCTTTCATTATCGTTGGTGGCTTTGTTGTTGTTGGGGTTTTTGTTGTTGTTGTAATGTTATTTTATTTTCAGCCGCGACGATGCCTTCGTATCGTGGTGGAGCTGCGGTTTATTTTAAGCGTGGGCAATCTTTGTTTGCAGAACCCCGTCAGAGGCACGCTGGGTTAACGCAGCCTTCAGACATTCACACAGGCTACGTGTTTAGATCATGCATCTTTAAATGTATACATATCAAGAACCGTGGTGCCAATACTCAATTCGCACGAACCACCGAAAAACTGTGCACCCATGAGGTGGGTTTGTTTGCAGCGTTACATTGTGTATATATAAACTTCTTTTGAATACCTATCAGAAAACCAATTCTTTGTGGTGTTTGCAAACGTCAAAATGTATTTTTAACAAATTCATTTCCTGTTGTGTGCCTCGCGTTCTTGATATAAATGCACCAAGACAAAGGAAGCTATCTCACTCTCTCTCTGTGCAAAATTAATTCTCTTGTCATATTTGTTGGCCGTACTGATTATGCATTTTATTCCGTGCGGATGAGCCGCCCGCTGAAGGTGACCTATTTAAAAAATGGCATTTATGTTTCCTCGCTATTGAAACTCACCGAATCCGATTCCACACAAACTTGTTCACGTAAGGCGAGAACGAGCAATTGAGCGCCACATTGCTCACGATAATAATATGAACATCAACAGCAGGCGTGATACATCCACTGGTGGATGAAGACTGCTGCCCACCACGCCCCCCACACTTAATGGCCATCTCTCACGCTTTAGCATTGCCATAATCTATATTGCTTTGGCACATGAGCTCATATCATTCGACATGATACGGCACCCGAGACACTGTGAACGGTGCCTTTGTGAGTGCAAATGATCACGAGCATAGTCTCATCTCTAAATACTGTCCATTCTCAGGAGGGGGAGCGGTGGTGCCGTGGTTGTCCGTTATGCGCTTTCAACCGGGCGACACAAGTACATCTCCCTGGAGCCACGGCCAACATCAGT